GGAATGGGTTACCTAGGGAGGTGGTGGAATCTCCTTCCTTAGAGGTTTTTAAGGTCAGGCTTGACAAAGCCCTGGCTGGGATGATTTAATTGGGAATTGGTCCTGCTTTGAGCAGGGGGTTGGACTAGATGACCTCCTGAGGTCCCTTCCAACCCTGATATTCTATGATTCTAGACTTGCTAGGGTCTGGAACTGAAGTATGACCCCACCGCCCAGCCTGGGGCTGAAGTCCTTGGGCTTTGCCCCCCTCCCCGCCCCACCCTGGGCAGCGGGGTGCGGGCGGGCTCAGGTTTTGATCCCCCCCATCCTGGGGTCCTGTAGTAATTTTTTTTGTCAGAAGGGGGTCGCATGCAGTGAAGTTTGAGAACCCCTGTTCTACAGTCATGCTACCCCTCAGTAAGGAAGCATTCTATGCTAACCCTTATGTAATACTCCTGGGGGAATTCTGCACCACTGCGCATGCACAGAATTTATGTCCCCTACAGATTTCTTTGCTTCCCTGCAAAAAAATGACTTGAAGCAAAGGGAAGTCACAAGAGCAGTCATGCAACCCTCCCCAGCAGTGTGTCTTGGGTGCGCAGGGCAGCCGCAGAGAGGTAAATCACTGTGGGGCAGGAGGCGGGACTGAGGAAAACCTGGTTGGAGGCTCCTACCCTGAGCCGGGCTCAGCTGCTAGCCCCGGCTGGGATGGGGAGGACAGGACTTCCTCTTCCCTTGCACGGCATACGGGGCCCGGTCAGACCCATCCCCAGATTTCCCCCCCAGCTGCAGGAAGCTCTGCAAACTCCCCCCCTTTCTGCTTCCTGCACCCATAGCTCCTCAGCTGCAGCAGGAGCCTGTGCTCCCCAATGCCATGCTGGAGCCTGCACATTTATTTGACAATAACATTTTCATAATTTTAAAATATGGTGCACAGAATTTTTTTTTGGGGGGGGGGGGGCACAGGATTAAATTCTTTGGCACAGAATGCTGTCAGGAGTAATGTAACAATGCTTGTTACTATCATTTAACAATAGCCTCATACAAATTACTCTATGTAGGGCCCCACTGCATAATTCAATTATGCAGTTACACATAGGGACAATTTATTTATTGCTAAAATATTGCCAAAATATTATATACACCTCTTTGCACCATTTTCCTGAAAGCTCTCAGATCCATACCTGGTCTACTCACTATTTTGCCATCCTTCCTTCATGTCTGGATAGATTAAACTAGCTAGAGATATGAAGGGTAACAAGAAAACATTCTACAAATACAGTGGCGAGTGGGGGAGACCCGTCTACTACTCCAGGTCCCATTGCAGGGACCCGGTAAATACCAGCATCCTGCTGCACCTCTTTAACCTCTGCCAATGCTGCTATTTTTCCCTGGACACTTCCCCTTGGCCCCAGCCCGCTCTTTGCTCTCACCTCAGGGCACTCAGCTGCTCAGTCCCAGCAACCAGCCACTGCTCTGTCCAAAGGACTTCGTTCTCTCAGCCCTCCAGGGATGCAGTCCTTATTCCCTGGGCTCCCCGCAGCAACTGACCCTGCCCTGCCATTCCCCTTATCTGAACCTGCTGGGCCCAGATAGGTTGCATGGGGCACAGCCACTCCTAGGCTGCTCGGAGGACTCACCTCCACTGCTCCCTGCTGAGGTTAATCGTTTTTACTCTAGTGTGAGGCCAATGCCCCATCATGGGGCGGGGAGGAGAAGGAGACAAAAACAGAAAATGTGGAAATACCAAAAGTGCTAAATAACTTTTTTGATTCAGTTTTCACCAAAAGGTTTAGTAGCAATTGGACATCTAACAATGAATATAAGTGAAACTGAGGTAGGATCAGAGGCTAAAATAGGGAAAGAACAGGTTAAAAATTACTTAGACAAGTTAGATGTCTTCAAGTCACCAGGGCCCGATGAAATACATCCTAGAGTACTCAAGGAGCTGACTGAGGAGATACCTGAGCCATTAGAGATTATCTTTGAAAAGACATGGAAGATGGGTGAGATTCCAGAGGACTGGAAAAGGGCAAATATAGTACCAATCTATACAAAGGGGAATTAGGGCAACCCAGAGAATTACAGACCAGTCAGCTTAATTTCAGTACCCAGAAAGATAATGGAGCAAGTAATTAAGCAATCAATTTCCAATCACCTAGAAAATAATAAGGTGATAAGAAACACCATGGATTTATCAAGAACAAATCATGCCAAAGCAACCTAACAGCTTTCTTCAACAGGGTAACAAGCCTTGTGGATAGAGGGGAAGTGGTAGCTGTGGTATATCTTGATTTTAATAAGGCTTTTGATACTATCTCGCATGACCGTCTCATAAACAGACTAGGAAAATAAAACCTAGATGTAGCTACTATAAGGTGGTTGCACAACTGATTGGAAAACTGTTCCCAGAGGGTAGTTATCAGTGGTTCACAATCAAGCTGGAAAGGCATATTGAGAGGGGTCCCACAGAGATCAGTTCTGTTCAATATCTTCATCAGTGATTTAGATAATGGCGTAGAGAGTACACTTATAAAGTTTGCAGACAATACCAAGCTGGGAGGAGTTGCAAGTGCTTTAGAGGATAGGATTAAAATTCAAAATGATGTGGAAAAATTGGAGAAATGATCTGAAGTAACTAGGATGAAATTCAATAAGGACAAATGCAAAGTACTCCACTTAGGAAGGGTCAGCTAGCTGCACACATACAAAATGGGAAATGACTGCCTAGGAAGGAGTGCTGCAGAAAGGGATCTGGGGATCATAGTGGATCACAAGCTAAATATGGGTCAACAATGTGACACGCAAAAAAAGCAAACATCATTCCGGGAAGTATTAGAAGGAGTGTTGTAAGCAAGACATGAGAAGTAATTCTTCCGACCTACTCAGGCCTAAGCTGGAGTATCGTGTCCAGTTCTGGGCACCACATTTCAGGAAAGATGTGGACAATTTGGAGAAAGTCCAGAGAAGAGCAACAAAAATGATTAAAGGTCTAGAAAACATGACCGATGAGGGAATTTAAAAAAATTGGGTTTGTTTAGTCTGGAGAACAGAAGACTGAGGAGGGACATAACAGTTTTTAAGTACTTAAAAGGTTGTTACACGGAGGAGGGGGAAAAATTGTTAGGATAGGACAAGAAGCAATGGATTTAAATTGCAGCAAGGGCGGTTTAGGTTGGACATTAGCAAACATTTCTGTCAGGGTGGTTAAGCACTGGAATAAATTGTCTAGGGAAGTTGTGGAATCTCTGTCATTGGAGATTTTTAAGAGTGGGTTAGACAAACACTCTTCAGGGATGATCTAGATAATACTTAGTCCTGACTTGAGTGCAGGGAACTGGATTAGAAGACCTCTCAAGGTCCTTTCCAGTCCTACAATTCTATAATTTCTCTCTCTCCCCCACAAAACAGCATTCAGAGTATGTACTGCACTTTTTCCTAGGTTGCTGCCCTTAAAAGGGCAGATTGGGAGATAGAATAGGAAGATCGATGTAGAAAAGAGGAAGCTTACAGGAGGCAGTTCCTCACATCCTAAACTCCATCTGAATAGAGTTCTGCATTATATCCATGTTCCCTTCTAAGATACTTCTAAATCTGTGCTTATGTGAAGCTCCACTCCTCTGGGGTTTAGGAACAGCCTTCCCCTGCTGCATAGTGCCTAAATCATGCAGTAGCAACTTAGAACCTGAAAGAGCAGAACAATTTTGCTCATCAGCAACCCCACGGCTGAACCGGCTTCTATTTTATTTTGTTGGTGTGCAGTTAAAATTAAAAATGTAGCCCAACAGACATACACGATTGCTTTTGTGATTCAAAGAAAGGCTCTCAATGAACCTCCAAATATGGAATATTTCTGTAAATTGTAATTCCACAAGATGGCCTTGATGACAACTTCGCAAGTTTCTGGGTGACAGATTGACGTGAGAGAAATTCACTGAACTGATGCCAGGCACCCAGATTTCCCACTAAGAATGTGCAAAAGTTAACTGTCTGTGCTAGAAAGGAAGACACTAGTGGATCAAGGGATTGGCAGGACAAAGGCAACTAAGAATGGCTCTCTCCTCTGGACCAGCTGGAAATCTTCACTTCCCAATTTTGTTGCACTACTGCCAAAAACAACAAACAACAACAAGAATGTCACTAGAACTGGATTACATTTGGCAATGAAAAAAAATTTGCTAGATCTTTCATTCTCCCTCCCACCCTTTATGTATACTACGCTTAGTTGCCAGAAAAAAAAGGTGCTAAATAGCCGTTAGAGAATTTTATGAAAACAGCCTAAAACTTATCAATTCACAAAGTAAAAAAGACACCAGTGCATTACTACGGGCTTTTGTTGTAAAAAGAAAGCAAAGGACATGCTGCAATCGAATATTTCATGAAAATGATTGCACATGTGAAGAACTTCCCTTTTCACAAAGCAGGTGTGTGAGAAAATATTTTCTTTCTAAGTGGGTGGGAAAAGGAGGCAAAGGAAAGCGGGTGAGAAAAGGAGACAGGTATTTCCATAACATTTTTAAATAATCATGGGAACAGAGAGTAGGATAAGCCTGCCTGGAGACATGTCTACATTTTAGGGGGGAAAACATGGATTTTATTTAACTATGGAGTTTGCTATTCAATAAAAAAAGTATTTACCATTAATACCAACAGATTACCATGTAGCTTCCATTAAAAATTGTTTATAAACAGCCACAGTGCAGACAAAGTGACTGCACTTCTGAGTCAAATACTTTAAGAGCTGATGAGTCAAGAAAAATCAAATAGTTATAAAAGACATTTTAAGAAGCTTAACTTGATCTACCTTCCATAAAACATACTTAATTTCTGTAAATCACAGCTTGGGGGGGGGGGGGGGAGGTTATTTTAAAAAAGGGAAAAAAATAAATACTTGCTTTCATAATGCACCAAGTGCTGCAAGTTTATAATGGGCAATTTATTGAGTAAATTAAAAGATATGAGTCACATGTTTGTGTTAGCAGAGAGAGCAGGGAAGGGGGAAGCTTAGTGTATATTCTTACCCAGCAACTAGAACGTATTTTCCATCTGTTTGATCCTTTAACCTTTCCAGCAGGGACAAACGTACTTTGGCTTTGGTTTGGCCATAGATTTCAATTTCATCTGCAAGCAATCCTATCTCCTTGGCAAGTACATCAACAGCTTTTGGACTCTGTCCTCGGGAAATCTCAATATCACTGGAAAAGAAAACAAATAGGAGCCAAGAGACTTCTCTCAGCTTAGGTGGTCGATGACAGAATACAAAATAACAGCAAACGCTGCAACAATGAAGTTATTGTAACCGCTTTATGATCTCTTCTCCCAGATTTTGTTATCTGAACCTAAATACTAGCCAACGCCTAATGTAATATTGGAAAACATGGTTGTGTTATCTATTTCTCCCCCCGCTTTCCCCAGCAATGTTTACTAACATTTCATTGTATTCTTTTCTTTAATTGGGGTCCAAATATTACACAATGACTTCATATCAGACTAGTCAGTGTCTGCTGGATATTCAAGAATGTCACTTTGGAATGGATTTTTCTGTCCGTTTCTTTTTGTCCTGTATAACAGTACATTTCAGCATTTACATGTACACATTACTGCAAAGCACATACATTCCTTATAGTTAGCACTGATATAAACATAGACAAACATACTTACACATCAAAGAATGTGAAAGCAAACTTCAAGCCTCACTACTCCCCCATGAGGTAATGTGATAGATAACATATACAGGGATCAATTCACCTACCACTGAAATCAACTATATGTGGGATAGCACACAGTGGCTGTTTAACTACACATAACACTATACAACAGGTAAAGATAAGATGGAAAGAAGAACAAGGCAACACACTGAAACTGCAGGGAATTTACTGCGGGTTAGGTGAACATCATAAACCAAATTGGGATTTAACATCAAACTTAACAGGCCTAGCCTTGCAAAAGAAATGCCATGGGATCTTTAATATCTGCACATGAATAAGGACTAATGTTAAAACTCAACTGCAGATGTCTCCTCTTAGCACTAATTAACACTAGACTGGGTCATTTGTTCAATTCTGATTCAGAGACAAGTATACCACTTAATCAATCATCAACAACATCTCTTGCAGCAGCGAGGTGTCTTTCCAGAGGTCTCCGATCCACATATTGACAACCTAGTCTGACCCTACCTAGTGAGATGTTACAGAATCACAATACATGACGATTTAGCTGCAGACCATTTCTACTCATTCCCCCCCATTAAATGCATTCTCTCCCCTTGCATCAATTCTTCTTTCTAAACAGAAGTGCATACCAATGAGACCTCTTGCATAATGGATAGTTTCAGTCTTTCTATGATTTTCTGCATCAAACTTTATAAATATGTACTTAAAGAAAGCTGAATCTGGTTTATTTAAGGGAGTGAGACATGCATTGTTGAGCAGCAAAGAGAAACAGAAGTGTGGCTGGCAATATTTTTTCTTTCAACTCTATTTCATTTTTAAGATATTGAAATTCCTATACAGAATTGTGTATTAAAACATCTTTAGTGTCCTTTTGTAACTTGAAAGATAACAACTTAAACATGGACTTCCTGAATTCCTTGTAGCGCTCTAAGCTCTCTCTACTTCCTTCATCTCTCCTGACAGAGGTGATTCCCACACAAAATTCTATAGAATCTCCTTCCTCCATCTCTTGTCAAATCTTAAAGAGCATTATAATGCAGCTGTGCTAGTGAGGACATCGCTTCAGTAAAACTGGCTTAATGTACCCTTATAGACTTGGGAATAAAACACCAAGGTGAAACGAGTTTTATAGGCTCGGCTTAGAAATCTCTTTTTAGGTACCAAGGGTACGTATTCACTACCTGCCATATCGGCGGGTAGCAGTCAATTTATCCGGGATCGATATATCGCGTCTTAATGAGACACGATATATCGATCCACGAATGCGCTCACCGTCGACTCCGGAACTCCACCAGAGTGAGCGGCGGTAGCGCACTCGACGGGGGAGCAGCGGCCGTCGATCCCGTGCCGTGTGGACCCCAGGTAATTCGATCTAAGATACTTCGACTTCAGCAACGCTATTCGCGTAGCTGAAGTTGCGTATCTTAGATCGATCCCCCCCTCTAGTATAGACCAGCCCCAAGTTAAGTTTTCAGTTGATCTACCTAAGCAAAATAACTGCTGTTGTCATTCCTTCGCTGAAGAGCTCTTAAGAATCTTTGGGGAAAACAGCTTTTTAATACAAACAGAAAGCCTTTTACCAGGGAGGTTACATATAAACGGAGACATCCAATAGAATGTAGTTATTTTTTTAATACAATAGGATCACTCCTCTATTAACAAGATGGGTGCAAGGAAAGACTTTACAATGATTTCGCATATATAACTTAATTATAACTGGTAGAAATAAACAAGGCTTTTTAAGTGTTTATGTCTAGCCACTTAATTATTTCTGTCAACAAATATTCTCCAGAATGTTTCTGATAGCAAACGTTACTAGGCATCCATCTGTGTCTATTGCGCAGTGAACACAAGTACTACTACTACATTTTTTTTTTTTTTTTTTTTTTTAACAGCGGAGGGAGACTGGTCCTATAGTTTACAATATTTCTAGCACACAGATGATTATAATCAGCATCCAGAAAACCATCACATGCTTTCCTAATGGACCTAGGTATATTATGCAATTATAGAAAAAAGTTGCTGCTGAGATCAAAACCAAAGTCTCCTACACCCTGTGTGCTCTGTTGTTCAGTTCTGGAAGCAACTACCTGAGCAGAAATGCATCACCCTTATACCTATACAGGAAACCCTATACAGGAAAATGTTTTGTTTCTTCATAAGAATGGCCCTACTGGGTCAGACCAAAGGTCCATCTAGCCCAGTATCCTGTCTTCCGACAGTGGCCAGTGCCAGGTGTCCCAGAGGGAATGAACAGAACAGGAATCATCAAGTGATCCGTCCCCTGTCACTCATTCCCAGTTTCTGGCAAAGAGAGGCTAGGGACACCATTCCTGCCCATCCTGGCTAATAGCCATTGATGGACCTGTCCTCCATGAATTTATCTAGTTCTTTTTTGAACCGTTATGGTCTTGGCCTTCACAACATTCTCTGGCAAAGAGTTGCACAGGTTGACTGTGTGTTGTGTGAAGAAATACCTCCTTTTATTTGTTTTAAACCTGCTGCCTATTAATTTCGTTTGGCGACCCCTAATTCTTGTGTTATGAGAAGCAGTAAACAACACTTCCTTATCTACTTTCTCTACACTAGTCATGATTTTATAGCCCTCTATCATATCTCCCCCAGCCATCTCTTTTCCAAGTTGAAAAGTCCCAGTCTTATTAATCTCTCCTCATACGGAAGCCATAGGATTTAAGTTTAGTTTATGAAACAGACAACTTCCTTCTTTATTAATAGAGAGAATCTTTGAATTTTGCATTCAGGGCTACTTGCAGGTTTTTCCAGACAGCTTAAGCCTCATACTTCAGTTTTCATTACTAATTGTTCTTGGTTTTTTGCATACTTGAAATTCAGCATTAGAAACAGCAATAAGGGACAGGCTGAGTGCTTGAGGCAGGATTCCTCAGTTAAAGGGAATATAAACCAAAGGGGCAGAGAAACTTTAATCCAATTAGAAACTGTCACAGAGAGCTGCAGCATTCAGCACAGAGGAGGGGTGAGGAATCTAGAGGCTGATCCAAAGCCCAATGAAGTCATTGGGAATCTTTCCATAGACTTTGATGGGCTCTGGATCTGGCCCTCACTGTCTCCCTCTGATTCCCTTACAATATGTCTACCTGGCAAAAGGTTACCCTAATGGCTCCAACTGGTACAACTCCCAATTAGATAGCTCCATCAGCAGTTTGGTCTGACCAGCTACTGTTCTTCTTGGAATTTGTGTATGTGTTTTGTGGTGAAGGAGATAAAAGCAAAAATATAATTTCTTCTTCCATGTTTCAATAACTTCCGAGTACATATCATACAACACCATATAAAACATAGCTGTTTAAAGATTTTACTTTATTTTAAAAAGTTAGAAAGGCCTCCAATTGTACTTTTCTACATGCATTAAAAATTAGTTGCATTCATGTATGTCTGCACATTCCTTTGCTAACTTTAACATTGAGTAATAAGTTATATATTTTTATTTTCCACTGCATTTATTATATTCAGAATAGTTCAACATATTTATCCAATCTATAGATGTTAACTTTATAACGCCTATGTTAAACAAGTTTATTTTATTATTACCTAAAAAATGTCTGAGGGTCAATTTTTGTTGTTTTTGCTGAATGTATTGTTTTGATTTCTGGATGAAAGAAACATGGGAAATAAAGGATAACTTTTAATCAACATGTTAAGTCTGAAGAAATTTTTGGTAACGTTAGTTGGACTAAAATATATTCATATGTACCAATTTTTTTCAACATCTGACATGGATGGCCAGTTTTTAAATAGTTAGTTTTAATATTGGCAATATACATAAAGGTTACATATTTTATACAAAACAAAAAGATTAGAACATTAGGCTTTCTGTCAGAACAAGACTTGTTAAATACCTGCTGGCAACGGTGTACCATTACACTGGGAATTTACAAAATACAAGATTAAAAAAATCTCTACATCTAGTCAGTATGCACACTGAGAATTTTATTACAGTGTCTTTGGAAAATGAATCTAATTAACGCCCCAGAACTCCTTGAGAGCAAAAAGAAATGTTCCCTGTTTAAGTTCCTATGCTTCTTTCTTGTTTTCGATGAAAAATCCATCTGTTTCCATATAAAACTGTATATTGTTGTAAAAGAATATGTTATACCTTCACCCTAGCAAGCAACTGTATATTTAAAAGGAAAAAAAAAATCTACAACTATAAAGTTCCAGTAATTAAACAAATGGAAACCCTATCACTGGTAACATATTTTATATATGGTGGTGGAGGGGGGGGGAGGGAAGCAGAGGTTTTTTTGAGTAGAAGTTTTATCATCATCAACCACATGGCATGAAGCATAGTTTGATCTATTGTTTTTTTAGCTATATTTTTAATGGGAGTTTTTCAAGGATGAAAAGTTTGAAATTGTATATATTTGCCCATTAAAAGCCCCAGGATATCAACTTTTTTCTTTCTATCTGCACTCTATAAAATGCTTGTTCTTTTGGCATCTGTTTTAAGTTACAAACTGAATCTGTTTCAATTAAATTGTTAAAACAAGAGACATTTAAAGGTGAAGTGAAATGCTTTCTTTAAAAGCATGTACTAATTTTAACCTTAAATGTTAAAAATGCAATACATTCAGCAGCAGACTTATATAAATTATAAATGAATACATTTTCAAAGACTCTACTCGCCATACCCTGGGTTCAAGCCCTCGGGTTTCTCTCACACGCAAGTGCACACCCACCGACACCACATACACACAACTTTATACTAATAGCGAAGCAGAGAGCTACATTCCTCCTGCTGTCAGCAGTTGTTGCAATGTAAACATGCATCCCTGAAGGCCTGAACATAGGCAAATAAATGAAAGAGGAACTAATCAAAAAGAATTTGGTTATACAAAAGAATGTATTTGTAACTCTTTAAGTCTGCAAACATATTTTTGGGCCCCGATTCAGGAAAACATTGCTAAACAGAAAAGCACTTATGCATGAGCTCAGGTGCCTTTGAAGTCACTGGGACTTACATGCATGCTTAAAGTTAAGCATGTCCTCATGTACTTTGCGGAATTGGGGGTCCCACTGATTTGGGAACTATTTCAGTTCACCTTTCAGTTTTAGAATTCAGAAACTGGTTGCCACTTATAAAAAATAACTAACACTAAATACTAGGATATTTAGTGACACAATAACAGAAGAAGCAAATAAGCTGAATAGCTGCTTTTGTATACTAGGCAATCATATTTAAAGAGACATAATTAGATTCAGTTTAATGTTTAAACCACTTGCCCAAAGCTCATCTTATTACCTGGGCACTGGGGAGAGGGGCTGAAGTTTCAAGCAATGGAGGTTCCACTCCCTGTATTGCTGAGACTGGATCCATCTCTCGCTGGTTTTTACCATGTTCTTTCACAGAGAAAAGAAAAACACTGTATGACAGTTGCATTATAAATGTTCAACAGTTTGATTTCAATTAGATAGAGCCTAAACATATGATTTCATAACTGTTAAAATGATCTCTATGCAAAGGATTGTAACAAGCATACCTACAACATAAAGATCTTCCAATCCCATGTATTTAGGAATAAAGAAAAACTCTTACTGCATTGTTTACCCAAGATTTCAAGGAAGGGCAGGGTCATTCAGCACAGATGGCACTAAAATCTCTGGCTAAGCCCGTGGAGGTATTCTTCCTCCAGGCCAGAATTTTACTATTCTCTCTCTCCAAAAAAAAAAAAAAAAAAAAAAAAAAAAAAAA